AAATGTAAATCTCTTTGGTAAGTTAAATGTGTTAACGATTCTCTACAGTAACAAACACAGATTGACAGATCTAGTGGTCATGATTTGATCAATTTTAATTAGGGCCTATACTTAATTCACAATGGTTGTTGTAATACATGAAATCTACAAATTGTGAGGTGACTAGTTAAAATGTAAACGTATTAAAAATACCATCAACTTTGAAACATTTAGTAGATATTCATATATTTTATGTATTTAAACATTAAAGTTTACTACCAGAAACTCCACGTCAAAAGTGCTGCACATTCAATTCAAACTTTAATTTTGATTTTTTTTTGTCAGTGATGGAAACTGTACCAGTGATACAGTAACATTCCCATGGGGTATAATACTCTACAGAATACAGTTAAGGGCATCTACTAATCTGCAGATTTTTCTGGGAGAAGGATTATTCATTCTTTGAGGGCTAGATCGTCGACGGGATTATATCATGTTGGTGTCGGGAGCAAAAAATATGCCAACAGACCGGTAAAATTCCTAAATTTGACCTTTGGAATTCCGTTGGCATTTTTAAAAAACGAAAATTAATACAGTATTTGTATTCGAAATATAGTTCAAATGATAAATTTACCAGTGTTGATTATATTTATTTTTTATGAACAAATTCTGATTTAGAGATTTAAAATTTTGAGATTGTTATGAAAGTAAAGAGCACAGAAATAAGAGTTTAGGATTAAGAACAAACGACTAGTGGCTGGGATTAGCTTCCATAGTTTTATTGCCTCGACTATATTTATAGCTCATACCCGAGATTATCATATTCTGTCGTATTGTTAAAATCAGGTGTTCAATATATTTCAGGTCATAAAAGTCACGCAGTCCCAGTATATAAACGGACTTCCGACCGTCAGAAGACAGAAATACATGTATCTGACTTTCTATATGGTACATCAATATACACTGCTGATCAGTGTGATGGTAAATTAGCAAGAAAATTTTCGTGGCAGCTCAAGCAAATGAAATCTACCCAAGCCAAACTGAAGCAAGCCAAAACAACGAAAAACACCCAAACTATCTAAGCTAAACCAACGCAACAGAATGTCAATAAAACCGTTCCATCAAAACCAGAATACAAAAGTAACTTCACCCATTAAACCACAGCCAACCATTTCACAAGGATCGTCGATAAGGTCCCCCTCTACATAAGACCGACAAATCCCACACAATAAATATAACATTGAATATTAATTTTAAATAAAGACATGAATAAGGTTGTGGTTGTGTTTCTCTATTAAAGTGAAGTTATTTTCCTACGGTCCAATGACGACCGATTATTTTCTCGAGAAACTTAAAAAATACCATGTATATATGTGCAATAAAATAATGACTCTATCGAATCCAACAGAGCTGTTGTCACCAAGCCCTGATAACTCGAATCTGTCATCGTATAGCATCCTAATCAAATAGTTGATCCACCAAACGTGGGTACTAATTCACTAGCGAAAATTGCTTGGTACGCAAAACAATGAGAAGAATGGTGCCACATGGATAGAATCTGTGGATATTCTTGTCCATCCTACTGAACAGAATAACCTGTACTCACTATAAGAATAACGTAGACAGGACCTCGGATGTTCGTCCCATCCGAACGACTATACGGTGTTTCTTGCCAGGTCCTCCGTCCTACACCACTGACAAGGGAAAATCACACTGGAAAATGTCTAGTAAGACTACTAATGTAAACTTAACTGTCCTATGTAAATACAGCTATGTCGGAGATGTTTTAAAATTCATAGGCACTGCATGTTTCAACATCTTAGATTTGACCACAATTTGGCACTTGAAACTGCGTTAACAGAGAAAAACTGTGTGGTTTTCAACGAAAGTGTTAAAAAGTCTAATATTGCATCATGATTGCTGTTTTAAAATTTCTTGTTCGATTAATATTGAATTTACCCCATCTTTTTACAGAATGCATTATGTTAAAAAATGAAAATATTCTGTGTAATTCATATGCTTTTAAATTTCTGTCTGAAATTCCGCAGTTTCCTGATGTATTATAGTGTTTGCAGAATGCGTCGCTGCTCATATGAAAATGCATGGATTTTCATACTCTTTGGCCAGGGCATTGCATATATGTTTGTTTATTAGATAACAACAGATTTGTTCAGACGGCAGCAACATGTGAGGTATATAGGACTAAGACTAGGAATTATTTCACCTTATTTCACGAATGTAGTGCGCGTTATAAATAGACAATTTTTTTCTCCCCTCTTCCTGCATTTTTTGGTTGACGTTTCGGTCTAGAATTGGAGAAAAGGGACCAAATTTGCAATTTCATAGCAGTTTCGGGTAATACTGGTGATCATTCTGATTAAAAGACAAATCTATATTTCGTTTCGTTTTTTTATACTTTCGATGGCCTACACTATATGAAGTGTAGTAAAGACAAGTAAAACGAAATTTTGAAGTATAAAAACGAAACGAAATAGGATCTGTGTTTTAACCAGATTGTGCTGGTGATATTAGAGTGGAGGGATCGGCGTGTAGAGTGTCTTTCTGCAGAGCAATCATTGTGTCGGAAGTGAGATTTTGACCCCAGTCAACATCAAATCTCCGTAGCTAAAAATCTAAACGGTCAATCCCCTACCAAATTATCTTGAGGGGGTTGCCAAATGCTGTGATGCTACAGTCATTTAACATTGAAGTCAATGGGCAAATGGACACAGATCACCAAATATTCCTGGGCCAAACAAGGGCCAAAGTTATTTTTAGTCTCTCTCCCGTTCCCTTTTTCCCCCTTTTGCATGGCGATTTTTGTTGACTTTTTGGTGTAGAATCGAAAAAAAAAGGGTTTGAAAATACATTTTCTGCCCGGTTTTGGTGAATATTCATGATTTTGAGGCGGAAGGATACAAGAGTTATGAGGTTGGTTACGTTGAAATGTAGGGCCGGAAATTGCATGTTTTTTGTCTCTACTTCCAGCTTGTGTATCTCAAGTTTTTCATGGTGAACCTCATACATGCTTTTGGGAAAGAGTTTGTCACATGTTGCTCCATCTATGGCAGAAAGCGTTCTACCCAACGAAAATTTGGGAAAAAGTTAGAGCCGGTCTAAGAGACGAGAATTAACATTAAAGTCAATAATTAGTGATCTGTGGCCAAATAATTACTAGTCTAAAAAGAGTTATTTCCCCTTGACTAGAACTGAATTTGACACGAAGATTAAAATTCTAATTGGGGGGTTTTAACGGCAGTCATTTTTTTTTTAGTAATAATACCAGTTGTCCACGTGTTATATGCCCGTCATAGTCCCAACATGACGTATATCATTTGGTGCAGTTCGCTTTGTTTCTCAGATCCGGACGATTACATAAACTTGGGAACAAGTCTTGAGGATCCCCATGATCTTCTCGGTGAGGATTCAAGCCAGGAGAATTTCTGGTTGCGCGATCGGTGGCCAAACTCAACCAATTGGAGAGAGAGAGAAATGGGGTTTAACGTCCACTCGACACAAACTAGGTCATTTCGGGACTAACATATGGTTTAATTTTATTTCAATAATTCGCTTGCGCGTAGGGGTCTTTAGCAGTGGAAGGAAACCGGAGGACCCTTTTTCCCCCTTTTGCATGGCGATTTTTGTTGACTTTTTGGTGTAGAATAAAAAAAAAAGGGTTTGAAAATACATTTTCTGTCAGGTTTTGGTGAATATTCATGATTTTGAAGCGGAAGGATACAAGAGTTATGAGGTTGGTTACGTTGAAATGTAGGGCCGGAAATTGCATGTTTTTTGTCTCTACTTCCAGCTTGTGTATCTCAAGTTTTTCATGGTGAACCTCATACATGCTTTTGGGCAAGAGTTTGCCACATGTTGCTCCATCTGTGGCAGAAAGCGTTCTACCCAACGAAAATTTGGGAAAAAGTTAGAGCCGGTCTAAGAGACGAGAATTAACATTAAAGTCAATGGGGGAATAATTAGTGATCTGTGGCCAAATAATTGCTAGTCTAAAAAGAGTTATTTCCCCTTGACTAGAACTGAATTTGACACGAAGATTAAAATTCTAATTGGGTAAATTAACGTCAGTCATTAGTTTAGTAATAATACCAGTTGTCCACGTGTTATATGCCCGTCATAGTCCCAACATGACGTATATCATTTGGTGCAGTTCGCTTTGTTTCTCAGATCCGGACGATTACATATACTTGGGAACAAGTCTTGAGGATCCCCATGATCTTCTCGGTGAGGATTCAAGCCAGGAGAATTTCTGGTTGCGCGATCAGTGGCCAATTGGAGAGAGAGAGAAATGGGATTTAACGTCCACTCGACACAAACTAGGTCATTTCGGGACTAACATATGGTTTAATATTATTTCAATAATTCGCTTGCGCGTAGGGGTCTTTAACAGTGGAAGGAAACCGGAGGACCCGGGGGAAAACCCACGAGGTTGGATCAACCAAATGAACATTTTACATGTGCGGCATAACATGTGTGTATGCGCGAAAGCCACGGTGGCTAAGTTGGTAAGACGCTGGATCGCTAGCCTGGAGGTCGCGTGTTTGATTCCTGCATCGGGATTTTCCGACGTGTTTTACCCTAGTCGTTCGGATGGGACGAAAACCGAGGCCCCGTATATACATTGGAGTGCACGTAAAAGATCCCTTGGCAGTCGGAATTCAATATAAGAGTAGACCACAGTGCCGCAGCCCGGGCAAAATCTCCCTAATAGACCACTGTATGGCGTATGCCCGTCTTCATTGGCCCAGTCGGAGCAGAACAGTAGGACGTTAAACTCCATTTCATTTCATTTCATTTTATGTTTGAATGCACCTTGCTATTGCTCTTGTGTATAGTGGATGTTTATGTGACGGGCTAAAAAGTGAAGCAATCGAACGACTAGACAGACTTCTTGGAATTTATCTGTAGTTGTGAAAGTGTTTCTTGATTAAATTTGTTGCTTGGTTTCATTTCCAACAATAAATAATAAATATTAAAATACAATTTATTTCTTTAATGCCCAATATACAAGTAAAAACTTTAAAAGAGAAAAATACAAACTTTATAAAAGAAAAATACAAACTTTATAAAAGACAAATAGAAACTTTAAAAAAGACAAAAAAAATAACCTAAAAAAAAATACAAATAAAAAAAAACAAATATAAATTTATTCCTATCAATACTAAATGCACGTTTAGATAAAAACAAAAGCAAGCGGTATATACTATGACAGTATTAAAATCAAACAAATGCCCACCGGTGTTGAAGATCTATCAATAGATCATATTTTCTCAAACAGATATTTACAGTTTTCATACCCCTGTAACTTATTTAAACATATTTATACAGGCCCCGCAAACCAACATTCATTAGAAATCTACATCTGTTTTGGTCCTTCAGTTCGTCAACTTATTGCCAAATATTTTTGAAATCATTCAAGTTGTTTGTATGGACCGTACACAGCCTACATCCCATATACATTTTGTTTAAATAAAAGCTAAAATTTAGGCTATATAAAAACCCCGCTCCTTAACTAATACATGTGATAAAAATATGGATAAATATGGATGAATATATCTCCATGTTACAATATATCATGCCTAATTAATACAAAAAAAGCAATTTAGAAGAAAGTTTCCAGCAAACAAGCACCAACAATGCTCGACACATTTGGACAGTTTTATGTAGACTTTCCAGTCAAATTGGGACTAACACAGCAGTATAATAATCTTTTCCCATATTACAAACATGACTATTCTATACCCTGCATTGGTGTCGGGTTCAGATAAGGATTAACTATTATGCAAAATGTGCGTTTCCTTATGATACCACGTGTTTTTTTCCCGTATCGAATTTATCATATTGCAAATACCCAGAATCTGGGAGTATCACCATAAATGACAATAAACTAGAAAAAGGCTATTTAAATTCAGCATATATGAAAGTTTTGTTTCATTTATATTAACCTTAACATTGGATGGGGCCTCTGAAAGGCACTTGCCTATATACAAAGCGATTTCGTCATACTGAACGGTTCTTCCAAATTGTATACATTATTCGGACACGCATATTGTATGCCTGTTTAATAACCGATTCGATCTGGCTATAAATGTAGCAAGCCACCATCGTCCATCTTGGTGTTTTTCAATGGATAACGTCATACAGATGTGCCATTTCTACTTCAGTAGCTTCGCTGTTTTCATAGACTGGTCCAGCAACTGTAATTATATTTAAAACAAACATAAGCTAGACACTAGATTAATTGGTCAAAGGTTTAAAGCTGACAATAGTAAATCTGGATAAAATAATTGTGTTATATATATATCTGAGGATCAACATGTATATTGTGTGTTCTCTTTGGTTCATATATTTAAATATTACCATTTTCTGGTGTACAATAGGGTTCACTATAATCATTAGTTTCTCGTGGTCTTCCTTCTGTGTTTCCATTCCTTTTTTTCCTGTAAGATGAACATTACAACAAATACATATTCACTTTTTTTAAATAAAAATTGCGATCGAATAGACCACCAGAATGCATTTCTTGTTTAATTGAGGAACGAACACATTCCATTATGATTGCTTATCCCTTTGACGGAGAGGTTATATGTCTTTAATTGTATATTATTATATTGTAAATGATTAATTTTAAGTCCTACTTTTACATCCGCTTCATCAATATTGTATTACTCTATGTTAGTTTATTATTTAATCACTGTATCTACAAGTATCAATTTCTGGTTAACAACAGTAGACATTTAACTTAACATTTTATTTCCAATAAGGCAATAGTCTATTACTTTTCAAAGAAAATGACTGACTAAGTCTATAAGAACTAGCTTAAGGGTAGGATTTGCCAAGGTCTGATTTCAAAGTAGGCGCAGTAAATAACTTGTGAAAACTCGGAAAGGTTATCCAATTCGGTAATACCACTGAATGGGTCATCTGCTTATATAAATATCACAAATGTGATTAGATGAACCTAGATGAATTCTATGGGTTTAAAAATAATAAATACATTTTCCTGGTTTTGATTTGAAACATAAATAAATACAAATTAACCTGTAATAATAGATTACTACTCCAAAAAGAACAGCTACAAGTAGGATGGATAAAATAAGTGCCAACAATATGGAGGTCATTCTGTACACACCAAAATTCTGGTTTATTTCTGGAGAAAAAATCAAAACAGAAGGATCGATAAATGAAGGATACAATCATAAATATTATCCACAAGGCAGGGTAGAACCACGTTCTATTGTTCTAGTTACATATAACAGTTTGTTGTTCCTTTATGTCAAAATGGTTGTTTAATTTTATAAAAATAACCAATATTGTAATTATCTAGTTTATAGACTGATTACATTCTACAATAAAGAAATAATATTATGTTTATACATAAAACAATGTATGTGTCTCTACAAGGTTCATAGATGATTATGATTGTCTCTATAAGTGATGCAGGATTTCCATGATAAATGTGGCCGTAACGTAGCTCATTATGCATATTCGTAAAACATATCTACCCGTATATAATGGGATTTGATCATTGATTTAAAATAATAGTGGTCATTAACATTAATCATATATTGGTTTGTTCAATACTCTCTACAAAGTATACATTTGTCATTTCTTAAACATACATTATGCAAGAGCAAAATTTGCCAATTGCAGGTCTTTCTTTAGGCCGGATATGTTATCCTAATTATTAATAAGACATTAATTAACTGATCCAGACCATAATCAGTTCTGGATGTCATCGCTAGACTGCAATATTTACTGGATTAGAACCCGGTCTGCTGCTGATTAAATCAAAAAGTGGATAATCGAGACTACGTTTTTTATCGTACCGATTTTAGTAATGACGATCGAGGCTAGGCCCAAAATTCAATCTCTAAATTCAAGGTTCAGGGTGGATCAATTTGATTGAAATTTTCAGCAAATTCCCTTTACATTATCTAGTTTTTAACTAATATAGTAAGAACTGCCAGCTCTTTATCTAATCTAACATGTATCTTTAAGCAGTTATTTTGAAACATTTGTGTTTCATGTTTTATTATAAGATATTTGATTTTTTTTTAAAAAATGAAATGAAGTCGTCCTACGTTTCTGCGCCGACTGGAGTAATGAAGTCAGGTATACGCCATGCAGGATCTCAGAACTCTACCAATGAGAAAACCACAGAAACTCTAGAATTGAACAGGTAGGCCTATCGGTTTTTGAATGGTAGCAATTGTTGTGTTATCTATACTAATATTTGTGACAGTCGTTTGTCTGAAATTTGGTGTATAGGGGTAGCTCGGACCGGGGAGTAACATAGGCCAGGTGGCGTTAGTCTAACACTTCTGGTTTCGGGGTTATGACCCCTGAGCGAAGCCGGGCATTCTTCTAGTTACTTATTTTAGTCTACATAACTTTTATTGTCCATTAATTAACAATAGGGTGAGACACAAGTTTGCAACTGATAAAGTTTTCTCCTTCACATAAAAATATAACATAAATCTTATTACAATAAGATACCACGTCAAAAAATCACGATGAACTTTCTCGGCCAATGCAGGGGTCGAACACGCGACCCCCAATTGTAGACATTGGACCCCCCCATATCTCGAAAAAAAAACTCAAACGCCTGATCACCACCCATATTCGGAATCTACGCAAAAAACTGGTCTAGAAAAACTTGGTCTCATAAATCCACAGCTCGGGTGGCGACCCCCCCCCCCCACCCCCCTTCAGCCACCGGACTAAAATATATATAGCCAATGATCAAAGAATCGTTATTTTTCAATTGGATAAACAAACGGTTGACATCCACGAGACGCCCAGAGATGGGAAAATGAATAGGACTAATCATTTATTGTCCCAGTGATTTACATCGAATATTAGTGAGTTTTAATGCGCACCACAATCGAACATATTCAATATATTTTGATCCTTGACATATTGTTTTAAGTTTCCTCGGAATCGGACAGAGATTGTAGCACCTTGAGTGTCTACAAACATCATACGTATTTCACATTTTGCCTAAAAGGCAGTGGCTATAACTCTAGAATAGAAGGTCTAGAATCTGATGTGTGTCAAAATCGAATTCATCCAAGAACAAGAACGTCCACTCAACTTTGTACATTTTATTTTACATTTTTAGTAAAATGCAGGGGGGGGGGCATATCTCCAGCATGGAAGGACGGATCCGCACCAAAGTTGAACTCATCAAAGAACCTTTGATACCTAAATATATTCCATAACGAGAGTGAGATAGTATAAGAGATTTGAGTGGCTATGGAGACCTAGTTATCCCGGGTGTCATAATTAACATACTAAAAAATATTAATACATTAACATCCATGTTTAATATTCCATTTTATTTGACATATATTCTAAAATATTCTAACTACTGTATATAATAATTATTGACAATACCTGTTGACAATGGAATATTGTTAGCTTTTAAGACATATATCCAACAGGACAATATCGATAGTCATTTATCTTTGACTTTATATGTCTTTAACATGTGGATCTAAAATCTTGCGACGTTTGATATTGCAACATTCTGAGGAAGTTTCATTTGGGAAAAGTCGATACTTACCACGAGTACAATCCAGACCTTTATAACCAGGTAAACAATCTCCATTACATGATCCATTAATATGATTACACTCAGTATTTTGTCTACTGCACTTTCTGTTATTACATGATTGTATACACCGATCACCATAGAACCCAGACTGACATTCTGAAAATAAAATTCATCAGCAGTTATACCAATTTTATATCATATATTTAGTAAATCATCTATGCACGAATTCAATAACCTTGATATCCTAGCCCATGCAACTATTCACATTGTAACAGTCAATTACATCCTGGGTTATTTCATATTTTATATCTTACTGTGGTTTTACTGTCTGTATACACCCACCTTTCATCCATTTCACAATACGATTTAATTTATGATATACCCGTCTTTCACTACATAGTCAATAGGTCTATGTCATGAGTAAATACGGTCTTAAAGATACATTATGTAAGATTTCGATAAAGAGCTGAGCATTCTTGCTATAATAGCGCAAAAACAGATAATGTAAAATAAAAATTTCATTCAAATTACTTCATTCTGAGCTAAATGATCACTATTTGTAGTTTTGACAAGATGTGTGCATAGTTGTAACCAGGCCACTGGTATATTCAAGACTTAGTCTCGCTTTCCCATTTTTAAATTAAAATTTTAAATGGCGAGCCGTTTTAATCTAGTTAAAATCTCGAGTATCTGATGCCATCGAGAGTTGATCATGATCTTGTTTTGTTAATAAATGTCTAATTAATAGTTCATATAACATTACAGGCCTAAAAATAACTGCAATAAGCAGATTTAGCTCTGATATACCTGTCTTTCAGCAAACAGTCAATACGGTCTAAATCATGATAATATACCCGTCTTTCAGTATATAGTCAATACGGTCTAAATCATGATTCGCCTGTCTTTCACCAAACGGATAATACGGACTAAAAATGATTCATGTACAGTCATCTTTCACCACATTGATCAGTTATTTATATTTTATGCAATCACTCCCGTTTTTACCACACTGACAAGTCAGATGATATTTGTTTATATTTTATAATTTTACCTTGAGTACAATCACCGCCTTGATATCCTGCATTACATTCTTCATTGTTACATTTACCATCAACATGGTTACATTCAGAAGGCTGTCGACAGTGACGTGAATAACAATCTTTAGAACAATCTTTACCATACGTGTGTATACCATATGAAGCCTGCCTATTGAATCCTCCATCATTACATTCTGTAGATTTATAATTTAATATATTAACACGAATTTTTTATATCCAACTTATTTAATATTACATTCAATGTGACTAACCGTCTAAAATCAAAATTGTTTTCACTGCATTTGACTGACAGTCTTAAATTTTCTTCGACGAAATATAAGAAATGTGATCTATAGGATATTTTTTTTCAACCTTTACCATAGTTAATATAACAAAACTGAAAATGATTGGGAAGTTTAGATTTGTCTTTGATTCCATAAAGTAGTTAGGTTTTTAAACGTTAAATAGTGTGTAATTAAACATAGTGCCCGAATGGGTTTAATATATTTATATGAGAGTGAAGGTTCGGACTATGCCTTGGAAATTAGAAGTGGGGGCAACTAGTATGTGTCTCTCTTTTGTGGACCGAAGTAAGATTGTCCATTGTATTAACTGGACGGGTAGGTCTGTTATCCTTCGGTTATGTGTCTTTGTTAAATGAGTGGCTTCTTTTCAAAAAGATCTCCTCTGGACCGATTTGATTCTACGGTATCTCTAATAGCTGAGAGAATAAAGCTTTTTTAGCCGAGAGAATATCTTCCGTCAAAGTGGTGGTTGATTCCGAGGCAAAAAGAGGAATCACAACAAAATTAGCCATAACGAGAGTGAGATAATATAAGAGATTTGAGTGGCTATGGAGACCTAGTTATCCCGGGTGTCATAATAAACATACTAAAAAATATTAATACATTAACATCCATGTTTAATATTCCATTTTATTTGACATATATTCTAAAATATTCTAACTACTGTATATAATAATTATTGACAATACCTGTTGACAATGGAATATTGTTAGCTTTTAAGACATATATCCAACAGGACAATATCGATAGTCATTTATCTTTGACTTTATATGTCTTTAACATGTGGATCTAAAATCTTGCGACGTTTGATATTGCAACATTCTGAGGAAGTTTCATTTGGGAAAAGTCGATACTTACCGCGAGTACAATCCAGACCTTTATAACCAGGTAAACAATCTCCATTACATGATCCATTAATATGATTACACTCAGTATTTTGTCTACTGCACTTTCTGTTATTACATGATTGTATACACCGATCACCATAGAACCCAGACTGACATTCTGAAAATAAAATTCATCAGCAGTTATACCAATTTTATATCATATATTTAGTAAATCATCTATGCACGAATTCAATAACCTTGATATCCTAGCCCATGCAACTATTCACATTGTAACAGTCAATTACATCCTGGGTTATTTCATATTTTATATCTTACTGTGGTTTTACTGTCTGTATACACCCACCTTTCATCCATTTCACAATACGATTTAATTTATGATATACCCGTCTTTCACTACATAGTCAATA